GAGCATTTCATAAATTAGTATCTTATTGTATCTAATGTGCAATATCAGTGAACTGGTGTAATTGCAGTGCTGTAACTTTAGACTAGATTTATAACATGGTAAGGTACTATATTTATTCAAGTGCCACTTTATTCTACTGTCAGTGACACCGGTAACCGGTAACCGGTGTGTGTGTGTGTGTGTGTGTGTGTGTGTGTGTGTGTGTGTGTGTGTGTGTGTGTGTGTGTGTGTGTGTGTGTGTGTGTCGCGCGCGCGCGAGTTTATTATTTATTTTACTGAGATATAACTCTAAGTAGAGTTCAGCAGAAAATAGTTTACAGGATTACTGCCAAACGTTTATATCAAAGTTTCCAGGAATAGAATACTCTTTCCAGAATTCCTTATCTGCATTCACTGGTGCGCCCTCTTGTGGAAGAATTCCACAACTACATGCATTTGTAAATATTAACCAATAGAAACAAATAGTATCCTCAATAAGGAGCAGGAGTCTAATGCAGATTATCTGTGGCAGTAACCATTTACACCAGTTAATACAATATATCCAGTATATTACATTATTTCATTTTATTCATTAGGATCACCATTAGATCATTGAAAGCAGAGAGTCAGGTCATGAATGTGGTTAACATCATGGCGACAATGCTGCTTTCAATTCTCCATAATTTATGAAAGCAAGGGAAGACAAGTCCACCATAAGATGACACTTCACAGTATATAAAATACTATAGACTTTTCGGTTCCGAAAATGTTCCGCGCGGTTCGCTAAAGGGTGCGATAACGTTCCCCTAAGGTAATGCAGAAAAGTTTACTAAACGTTAATTTTAGGTAAAATATGTGGTACGGGGAACGTTCCGCGAACGTTCCTATTGTGATATTATAAAATGATATATATTTTTTTGCCATTTTTGCCATTTTTCCCCTCATGGGGCCACCACTCCCCCTTGTCACAGCTTTTGTGAAGAGATGAAACCTGGCTGAAATGCAATACCTATTATTCCAGATCTGGGCTTTTGTGTGTGGTTTAAAACTGGGGCATTATGATGTTTCTTCCCAGGAACACCAACTCCAGAGCTGGATTTTCTTTTCTACTCACTCTGACAATGACGACAGCTTGTTTTGTGGCTCTGGGGCTGAGAAGCTGGACCATCATTGGTTTTGGTCAACTGCTTTTCTTACTGCTTCTTGGAACCGTATTTGCTGGTAAGAAATTTACACATTTACACTAAAAATATATGCATGAAAAATAATTTAACTGTTTTGTTCCATAGTGTTGTTTGCCACACATGACTGTGGTGTACTGTTATTGATATTTTGTGATGGTGTAACACACAGTGATTGCTTAAGCATAAAAATGTTACAGAAATGTGCTATGCATTGTTGTTCTCTGTTTCCCAAAAAAGGATAAGGTGTGATTATGACCCTTAACCCCTTAACCCAAGACCATTGACTTTGTAACATTCAAAATTGTGACATATTTTCCATTTCTGGAAAACAAGACAAAATGTGTTTGGAGAAAAACAGAATACTGGCAAGATCAACAATCACCAATTATCACCAACCAGTTACTTTGACTGACATGGAAAAAGTTAGCATCCCTTCTCTGTGCGGTGCTTAAGGTCATTCTGGAAAATGGAAACCACAAAATAAAAGGGAAGCAACCCTGAGGAAAAGTGGGAACACAAAAAATCCAGTTAATATCACATCATGATATTTAACAGTGTGAGTGTATTGCTGGGTGGATTTTATCTTTAAATAAAGCTGATCACTGTGACTTTGAACATCAGAATTTCTCTGTGAACACAAGTATCTGCAGTGTTGTTAACTTATTATTGTGTTGCCGTTCTGTTCTGAAATTTTAATTTTAACAGTGACAAACCATACAGTATTAGGATGAGAGGTCCTCTTTTTCTGTCTGTATTCTGTTGGTTTAATGTTCACTGAACAAAATGTCTTAGTTTCTTCAGAGGTATCTGAGCCGTGGAGAGGAACTGCCTCCAGGTCATCCGATAAACAACCACTCCCACAGCATTCCTTCGCCGCAGGTTATCAATGTTTCTCTGTACTTGCCTGAAGAGGAAACCAGGCCAAGTTAATATTAGTGCATTCCTGCCACATATTCATCCAACATTTTACTTTTTAACCATTTTAAAACCAAAAGCTCACGACTAAATGTTCTGTCTTCTCTGTGATGTGCCCACAGTCTTGCCAGTGCCACTGCAGATTCAATATGACACCAACCTGACAGAACATAATGTCCACAGGAGGAGAAGCTCTGCCTCTGCTGACACTGAAGACTCTGTTTTGCCTACAAATGTTCTGACCGCCTCTCATCTCTCCTCTCTCAGAGACCTGGTGTCAGACAAGAAAATCACAGGTTGCGCAGCTGCCCCACACCCTCCCCACAGCATGATGAAATGTTATCCGACCTGAAGATGAGCTGGACCAGCTACTACATTTTTTTTTTTGTGTCACTCTGCTCTCGTGGTAGATACAAGGCAAAATTATCAGCCTTAATTTAGCATTTAAAAAAAGAAAGTTAACTCTGTGCTAGCTTTATTCGTATCAGCTCTATCTGTGATCACAAAACTCCTCAATCAAACCTGACAGCTGCACTGCCTTTCTTATGAAAGCTAAAATAACCTCAGCTGGGTGGTGTAAGGCATTGAGTTAGAGTTTTAATAATAATTATAGTAGTTAATTTTAGTAGACTCTGGTATACTTCACAACCCTCCTGACCCTATCTGATGTTTCCGGATGCAATAACTTCCACTTACCCGCTGCCACCTATCCCTTGGCTCACATTAGTTGTTTTGTCTTTTTAAAGTGTAATTTTGAAGGCTTATAGACCTACTGGTACTGATGTTGTGCAACAAAAGAAGAGCAATAACACATTCAACCAAAAGCGCTGTTACACTCTAGAGGTTGAAACACTGTGTAGTTCACTGCTGCGTAACTTTAGGTGGTTGGGATAGAAAATCCACTCAGGTAAAGCTTTCAACCACAAGATGGCAGCAAAAGAAAGACTTTCAGCTAGGATGCTACTTTTTAAATGTGAATATTTTTATGCCAAAGCTGCTGAAAGTATTCACTGTTTCCACTGAGGTATTGCAACTGGATGGAAAAGCATGAACATGAATAAGACTGTTTCACATGAACAGACTCATCTTCATTTTGTGTTTGCACTGAGTCAAAATGGGAGGAAAGTCAACAGGAGCAAGTAAAATAAAGCAAAGTAAAGAAGCAAAATATTGTTGAACAGGTGTGTTCTGTCAAAAGGGCCAGAAACTTTAAAAATAACAGTGGTGTCCAGAGGGGGGAGAAAAAGAAGGAAGCAGAGTGTATAGCCAGCCATTGTTTAACACATCCGCCCACATCCCTTTAGGCAGACCATCATGGGATAGTGAAAAAAGTCCTCACTTAAACCAGTTCAATCACCTTTTATGTTTCATTTGCTCCTTTTGGATTATACATTCTGTCAAGGAAAGACATTGTCTCACAGTTTGGAAGAAATGTGTTCTGGCTTGACCCCACAAGGCATAGTGAAAAACTCTATATAAGAAAGATATAAGTTAAAAATACAAAATATTCCAATATATTATTGAAGCATGAAATGGAAAAAATGTGAAAATGAATATGGTTTTATTTTCCTTTGAAATAGGGAAAATTCAAGGAAGAACAAAATGACTGGTTGATATCTGATATTTAATAAAAGGCTAAAGTCAGTTCAGTGTAACCCAGCTTGCAACAATTGTTTAACCTAAATATGAATATTAGCTGTAAAAACAGTTGTTTGTGTCATTCTTCTAGTGTAAGTCATATGAAAACTTCACTTTTTTTTCTTTCTTTCTTTCTTCTTTTTCTTCTTTGGTTTAAAGTTCATTTAGGTCTCCGTGTATCTCTCAGCGGACCAGATAAGCTTCTTGACCCTCAGCTCCTCCTCTCCCTCAGCAAAGAGGTTAGTAACTCTTTTAAAGACAAATAATAAAGCTTTTAGTAAATCAATATTGGTAGAAAAGTAAATAAAATTAAATATATATTTTTTTAAGAGTAAAAACCCAAAGAAGCAATTAGCCTATATTATCAGTTAGACTGTAATGACCTGAGAAACCAGCGCATGGAGATTTTGTCTGAAGAGATGCCAAACAACAAAGTCACTGCCCAACTAATCAATGATCGCAGAGTCTAAAGGTCAAAGGCTGAAACCTGTGTGTTGGTCAGATTGTATGGTATATCATTTATTCATGGGTAAACAATGAGGCAATCCCACACACACACTCAGCAACTGAAGTTATTTCATTTGTCTTTAAGTCCATGAACTTAGTGGCATTTCAGACCGACAGCACCTTTTAATTACAACGGAGGCATGAGTGGATTAAAGGATTAGAGTCTGGAGAACTCAATTGTTGACTTTTGATGTAGTGGAAGGTGGAAGGTATTCAAAAGGTCAAGCATTACTGAAACTATTCTTGACAAATATGTGGAAGAAGCAGGAGACACAATTAAAGCTCTTGTGCTGAAGTTAGTGCTTATGACTGTCGTGTCCTTGTTTTTTCTTTTCTGTGGGAAGCCTGGAATCTACAGCACTGGAGGGGAGGCAGGACTCTTTTCCATGAGAATAGTGGGAATAAAAAAAGTGAACTCTACAGCCTGAGATTTCATCATCCACAGCTTACACCACGTCTTTTGCATTACTTATGAGAACTTAATGAAATAAGGACAATGCTATGTCTTCTTGAAGACCACGTTATATGATCTTTTTGAGGAAATTAATTAAATTTTATTTTCAAACCGATGTTTTGTGTTTAATTAACCATTAAAGATTAACTACATTGTCTTGGGACAAGCCTGTGCTCCATGCAGCGACTGACAGTTGACCACGCCCATTAAATGGATAAGCCAATAGCAATACGCGCTGAACATTTATTCCCTCCCTTTTACTGGTGTTCATGATGACCGTGAGGAAGTTCACCGGTCACTAAGGCAGCGATAGATGACTTGGCGGTCCATTGTAAATAAAAACGGATCAGCGCAGCCGTCATTGCGCAAGGATGGAAGACCCAGAGTCCCTGGAGGACACGCTGCCCGAGGAGGAGAGGGAGTTTCAGAGGATTATAGCCCTGATCGGTGGCAAAGAGAGGATTTATTTGGTCAGCGATGCCTGTCAAAGTAAAGAGGTGGACGCGGATGACGCCGGAATATTGCAGGAGTTCATACGTGACATGTTTCACAGCAGCAGCCACGCGAACAGCAACAGACAGCCCTGCTCCTTTAATTCAAGCAATCACGACGACGCTGCAAGTGCAACCCACGGCTGCAGCAAGACAGAGGCAGCCAAATGTAACGAAATACCTATGACAGTGAGGCCCAAGGGTTTGGATTTGAGAGCGTGCCCGCTGGGAGAGGACAGGCAGAAGGAGAAGCGGCCGACGCACAACGGCAACGCTCAGAGGACAGCAACAAGGAGGGCAAACATTTACAGCATAAAGCGAGCGATAGACTCTCCCATCATCATTTTCATCTTCAGACAGACATTTGTCAGCAAAGATTCCAACGAAGTGTGCTTGAAAGAGATCTTGAAGGACGTGAAGGCACGTACGAAACGTGCCACAATCGCCCGACCAGCCCTGATTGGATTAATACGCGCCAGACAGGAGAGCGCCGAGACGCATCAGTGTGTGCAACTCCTGGAGAGTCTGATCCGCTCAGTGTTCTACAAACATCCGCCGGAGGCAATATGGGCCGGTTGTTTCATCCCAAAGACAGAGGACAAAATTCTCAGCATCAAGCAAAACACGTGCAGAGTCATACACTCATCTCAAACAGCAGGTGTAATAACACACATTGTCCATGTTATTTGAAGTAGCTTGTAGTTCGTGTAATATAATGTAAAAATTATGAAATATTCAATTTGGATTCACACATGAACTTTTTTTGCTGGAGCACACGTCATCAGGGCAGATGCTTGTTGACGTGAAGTTTGAACCCTGGCCACCATGCAGCTTTGGTGATGCATATACACTAGGCCTATTTGACAGCCAAAATGAACACAGGCTACAGATTCTGACACTTTTAAAAAACACTTTAAATGATGGTTTTACTGCACAGATATCACACAATATCCAGTGCCATTGGAAATAAAATAAGTTCACCAGACCTTTATATAACCATAGAATCACAAAGTATCCAAAGCAATATAAATGGCAGTTATAGTGATATCCCGGTAGATTAAATACCTTTGTTTATGATGGGATAATTGTAAAGCCATTCATGGGTAGTCACAGTGGAAGTTCTTGCAGAAATATTTGGCAAACACTAATTTGTGTTAGTGCACTCCATTATGTAGGTCAATCCATGACATTCACAAGACCATGCACACATTTTTCTTCCCAGGCTTAGTTGCAAAGACCCAGGAACAAAGGGAGCATTCATGACACAATCAGTCTCTTACATAAGCTGCCAAATGGTTAAAGACTTTATTATTGCCTTTTAGATAATACGGGGGATAGAGGGAACCCGCTTTTCTGGCCATTCCAATGTTTGTTCTGGCCTCAACGAAGAGGAGCTGGAGGCCAGGCCAACAACTCTGCAATCACCAGGCAAAGAGGTAGCTGCACGCATCATCCCAAAGCTGGATTCTTTTCGCGTTTTTTTTCTTTTCTTTTCTTTTCTTTTCTTTTCTCTTTCCTTTTTTTTCAATTTTATACAACAACTTAGTCCCACTGTTCAGGGTTCTCCTGAGCCCAAGACTGGAGCCTATCCCAGGATTGCACTATTTGGGCAAAAGGCATGGATATAGGTTGCCAATCTATCACCTGGCCAACAGACAGACAAAGACATTCACACATTAACTCTCCAAAGAGCTTCTCTTTGGTTCAGGTTTCATATGGTGATGATAAACTGTTATGTACAAATCTGCACTAGAGCAGAAGCAGAAAAGACCAACTTTAATATACGCTACCAGGATGCAATGTGGAAAATATTTATAAATATAAATATAAAACAGTGACTTCTGTACTTTTTCAGAAATTCAGAAAATAAAAAGAAATTCTTTCCCATTACAACCACTGCCTCTCCAGATTCAGGTGGTAATGTGCAAATGAAAAACTCTGGAAACAAAAAGTAAATTGAAACACTTAAAACAAAATAACCTCTGTAATGGACTGATCATCAGATTCAATATTTGCACAACAGGGTAACAGCATTTTAATGTTGAATTGACCATTTAGCCATGAAGGCAAATGCTACAATACTGCTTGTAGGAAACAGAGGAATAGTTGAATTCCACTGCAATCTGATTTGTATTAACTTGTATGTATGAACTCAATTCCACTGTAAGTAACTATAGAATTGTTTTTCAGGTGACACAGGAAGTGTAGAGGAAGGCACCCCTCTGAAAATCAGTTCCATTACTGTTGGACGTCATGTGGATGGAGAACCAGCTGGAGGGAACAGCTGATGTCAGGACACATGACCTTTGGCCTGCAGGCCTATGTGGTGGACCATCCTGTTTTTACTGTGAAGAGAAAAATTTGCGTCATGGTGCTACAGAACTTTAGTGCATTTAGTATTTCTTAACGGTGCTTAATATCCTCACTGCTGAGCCAAAACGATTCCTGTCTTCAAGCAATATGTTGTTTGATGGTCAACTCTGTTGCCATCTTGCTGATTTACACGTTGTCTTTGATATCTAATGGTTAGTTACAAAGGGATTTATTGTGTATGTGCAGATCAGTCATACAAGCTGTATCACATTAACAGCAATTTAGCTTATTATAGGTTGGGAATGCAGAATAGCGACATTTTACGTAAAAGTATTCCTTTAACATGATCCATAGTCAAACACAGGTCAAGATTACCTTCTGGACAAAGAGGGCAACTGATCCATGGGCCACAAGAGTTACTGTATCAACTGCTTAATGCGAGGTAAACCAGTTGGACATTTATTTGGGAATATACACCATTAAAGCACAATATCAACCATTATAAGGGTCTTGAGACGGGTTGTACCTTATTATTGTACCTAACTGTAAAGCCTTATCTTGAAAAGGGTCCCTGTGTGTGGAACACCTGTTTATTCACATGGCAGCAGTGCAAAGCATAAAATCCTGCAGATACAGGTCAGGAGCTTCAGTTAATGTTCACATCAAACATCAGAATGGGGGAAAAATGTGGCCTGTGGTGGTGTAATGGTGTGGGGAATGTTTTCTTGGCACACTTTGGGCTCCTTAAAACCAATTAATTATCATTTGAATACCACAGCCTATCTGAGTATAATTGTTTACACAATTTACCATCTTCTAATGGCTACATCCGGCTTGATATTGCACCATGTCACAAAGCAGAAGTTGTTTCCTGAACATGAAAATTAGTTCAGTGAAATTCAGTCACATCCACAGTCACCAGATCTGAATCCAGTAGAACACCTTTGGGATGTGTCCCTGATAAAGTGCCCACTGAGTGTGTATATTTTGCATATTACTATGTTATTGTTAAATTATCGCACAGCTAATCCTGTCAGCTAAAACTGTACTCACTGCATAGAGAACAGGAGTAATGAGTTTGTAAGGGACCCAGCCCTTTTAATTTTGTTCTGGCCATGGTCAAACAATGTGAATCTTTTTCTTTTCTTTTTTTTTTTTAAACTTTCATTTATTAGGATTTTGTGCCTTAGATCAGTGCTATGACTATAGCATTATCTTTAACAGCAATGGTGCAGTCTGCTTTTCACTTTTAGTTTTAATGTAGGTTACAAACAGGTCCTATAAATAAACACATTTAAACTTGTGTGCATCTCATCTCTTTTGAAAAAGTACAATCTTTCCCTGTTCTCGCACCAGACTAAAAGTCAGATATTGATTTAGAGGGCAGCTGGTATAAGTGGAAACATCCTTCAGACAACACTGTACTGCTATGTGCTACTTTTGCCAACATGACAGCCTCACTGAATTCAATTAGTATCATGATATGCAAACTTTTTTTCCTTTACTGAACTCTTAAGCTAATACGATGAAAAAGGCATCATATATTACATATATATCATTCAAAGTCAAATACCATAATTTGAACAGCAAAAGAGACAAATATGAATTGTTGCTAAGTGAATTGTACACAATGTGAGTATATTCTTAAAACTTTTTACTCACCAGTCTTTATTAGAAAACTCAGAAGAAGCACATAGAAGTGTGCAACACTAGTCAATATGAGGTCAAGATCATATAATACCAATAAAAGTACTATTATACAAACAAACAACATAATAAAGTAGAGCCACAGGAATGCTACATACAGTTTTACCAATAAGGGTCATCTTTAAATAACAACATGATGAAACATACATATACTACTTGCACCTTACAAAATAATAGAGATGTAGCTTTAATTTCATTAACCAGAGCCAGAAAAAAAGGTTTGCTGTGGATATAATATTTGGACCAAATGATGAGATTGATCATGTAGAATTGTCTTACAATTCCAGCTGAAAGTGTCATTGGGAAAAAAACCATAATCAATATAAATGGTTTTAAGGAGATGGTTGTAAGATAATGGCTTGAATCTGTGAATCAATTTAAAGATTATGACTTTTATTTTTTTACTGATCATATATTTGTGGGATAATAGGCTATAACATGATCCTTTCCAGTCGAGTCAGTCGAGTAAATAGCATGGATGTGTGGTACACAGAAAAGCCGGTCCATAAATACGTCATATTACAATATTTTCATAATTCCTTTTAAATACGATGAGAAACTGTGAGACAATATTAGACTTAATCAACCAAACACGGGTTGGTCCAATGGATGAAGATATAGCGGATATTATAATAGTTCGTTGTGTCTTTTTAGTCAGGCGCAAATGAGGCCTAGCAAAACCGGAGGTCCTTTAGAAGGGGACTTGCGGCGGTGTTGGACAAAAAGAAGTTAGCAACGGCTGCATCTGATTCTTCGGTCTACTACAACTATTGTATCTTCTTTAATTCCCCCCCAAAAAATCGCACGGAATTCCACCGTCGAACCAGGATCTTGGGGCTGAGGAGGGAATAAAGAGCCAGTCATGATAACATCTGCCGGTAAGTCTTAAAAAGTGTCTTTATTTTGGTAGCCGTGGCTTTAGCTAGCTGCCATTGATTTAGCTGAGTCACACAGCTAATGTAGCAATAGGCAGGCAGCCGTTCACCGGTGACAGATAATAAATCCACCAAAAATGTTATTCACGAAGGAAAAACTCTTTGAAATGTGTCTTTGCTGTAATGAGGCAACGATTTTAACCACTTAAAGTATATTAAAATATAGGAATTCATTATAAGCTGTAGTAACAATAATGCTAACTGTGTTGTACAGAATCTCTGCTTCTCAGATAATAACATGTTCAAGTTCGTTTTTATGAAAACATAAGAATGGTTTTCGTCTTGGTAACGGTTCGCAAAGAAACAGGTGTTATATCGCCATCTGTCCCTTTTAATACATCCTACTGAGTTTTTCCAAACATGTTCAAATTTAATCATTTACCCTGCTCTTATTGCCTCGTTACAATAATCAGAATTTCTAAATCAGATTTGGAGTTGTATCATTAAATATAGCTGGTATCCCCCTTATTTGAATATATATATATACATATATATATATATATATATATATATATATGTATATATGTTCTCATTTTATTTTATTAATTTACTGAATGGCAAACTTTCAATTAAAGGCACTTTCCTTCCAATGTCTGTTATCCTTTGAGCCCCAGACCAAAAAACTTGTGCTACTTCCATTTGAGAGCTGAGACTATCAATTAATTTACCAATAAGCATAAAATTTGAAAATTGATCATATGATAACAGATATGATAAACACAACAGTAATGCAAGAACTCAGTGACATGTGTAAGGGTTTTAGTGAAACAGACAGAACCCGTGTGCTGACAACGGCTTTATAACCAAGAAATACAATAGGCTAAAATTGATAAAGTGAAACAACAGAAGAGTTACACCTAGTAATTTTTACTCAGATTTTACTCAAATCATACTGTGTCACTAACCATTCTGACTTCAAAGGGTCAAGAGCGTCAATTACAAAAATGAACGAAAACATTAACGACTTAATAACAGAGAAAACTATTCAGTGACGTCTTTATGGCCGTTTTCACAATTAAGTTGAATGTGAGACAACTTTGATGCTCTCGTGTCAATTTGATTGCATTAATGACTTACAATGGAGGGTTAATAGCAAGCTTTATAGCTCATTTTGCTTATAGAACCAGGGCTAATGACATGTTGCTTGACAGTGACATAAACCAATTAGTGTGTGTGAAAACCTTACTAAAACAGTAGTCTGCACAGCAGTATTCCACTGAGGCTAATGGGGTTAATGAGGAAACCATTATGGAGAAAAGCACTACAGCCTCTGTATGTTAATGCTATGTAATTCACTAGACCGCTTTTCAATATAATGTACAAGTGACTCATTTTATGTCTTGTAAAAACGTATGATATTTAAAATCTGTATATTGATGAAAAAGGTGTATAAACTTCTTGAGTCAAAAAAACCACTTAATCAATTTTGTTTTCAATTTTTTTTTAGCCGGAATTATTTCGCTCCTTGATGAGGAGGAGCCACAGCTCAAGGTAAGAACTGCTTGATAAGTGGTGGACCAGTTGGCTGAAGATGGCAGACTCGCATGTCATAACGCTATTCAGAACTATAGAGATTACATGCAAATGTGTTTTTACTTACTGGTAAAAGCACACAAGTTGTAGGGTACTAGCTCCTTATGAACTGCTTTATAACAAAAGTGACTTCTGGAGGTTTTCCTTAGTCCTTTTAAGTGTGGCATGAAGTCCTCTGTACAGAAAAGGAGGCACATAAAGTATAAAGGATAGTAAAGAGTTATATTGATCCGTCTGCTCTCCGTGTGCATTCTTTGGTTTCACTTCCAATGTATGATGGACCAAATGCAGTAAAAGCTTCACCTTTTCTAATTGCTGTTATAGTCAGCTTTGATACGTTCATGTAAGACTTGAATAATATAACACAGAAGTTCAAGCTCAGTATGAAATGAACCTTCACATCAACTTTCTTCATGGACAGAAGATATTGAGAAAAAACTGAGCTTGATGTTAAATAATGAGACAGTTTCAATCTCACACAAGCTAATATGTAAATGTATTAAATTATGTGAATGCAACATCTATTTCATTTGCAGGAGTTTGCTCTGCACAAGCTAGACTCCATCGTGAATGACTTCTGGGCTGAGATTTCAGGATCAGTAGATAAAATGTAAGTACCAATACTATGAGCTTGGAAAGTAAAACTGACTTGAGAATGTTACATTAGGCTCATACCTTCTTTATTTCAGTGTTTGCAATAGGGAGAAGGATTTACTTTAAATCAAAACACACCAAGTGCTTGCCAAAATCACCTGCCTTGTCAGTGGTGACACATTAAACACAGTATTAGCACACAACAGCAGATGCAGACAAATGTAGCAGGGCAGTGCAGTTTGCAATGTGCCTCATTTTCAGAAGCAGAGTGCTGAATATCCCTGTGGTGGGTATGATTGAGAGGGTTTCTCGAGCAGATCTCTTACTCCTTCCGAATGTAAGAGGTTACTGCTCTATGGCACAAACTGCTCTGTGGGTCATAGAAAACACAGCTTGTGTAGCTTTTGTAATACATGTAATTTATGTATTTGTATTAATTTGTAACCGAAAAATATCTCATATTAGTGTAAATTTTCAGTCTTATCTAACCATTTGTTCACTCACAGTGAGGTCTTGTATGAGGATGAAACATTCCGGAGCAGGGAATTTGCTGCCCTGGTGGCCTCGAAGGTTTTCTACCACCTCGGAGCCTTTGAGGAGTCTCTGAACTATGCTCTTGGTGCTGGAGATCTCTTCAATGTCACAGATGACTCGGAATATGTGGAGACCATTATTGGTGAGTGATAAAACAAAAACACTTGACCTCATTTACCTAACTTACCTGCTTGTTTAGTGATCTCGTGACATTTCTGTTGCTTGGAGACTGCCGTGATCCTGATCCTCTGCTAGCGTGAAGTAAAAAAAGTAACTTAAATGGAAAAATAAACAAATTCTTTCTTGCCATCAGCTTACAAAACTGACAGGGTTTTCTGGTAGAGAAAGCTAATAAATGACATACGGAATAAGATGTTGACTTGAACTACATTGCTGATTCCAGGAGTGAAATGGACCCTCTTTTCATCCCTTTTTTGTGTCTCATAGCCAAATGCATTGACCACTATACCAAGCTGCGGGTGGAGAATGCAGAGCTGCCAGAGGATGAGGAGAAGAAAAGCATTGACCCTCGCCTTGAGGGCATTGTCAACAAGATGTTCCTGCGTTGCCTTGACGATCACAAGTACAAGCAGGCCATTGGCATTGCCCTGGAGACCAGGCGCCTTGACATGTTTGAGAAGACCATCTTAGAATCGGTCAGCAGCTATTATTACTCACAGCTGATTTGACATTAGTTTGGAATATCTCCTGCTAGCTTTAATACTGAACATAATAGCTCTAAGTCTTTTACGAGAGTGTAGCACACTATGCACGATAATACCCTATAAACCTTGATAGAGCTTATGAGAATCAGTTTATTCTAATACAATAGATGGCTTAGAATTGGTCTACATTACTAGTACGAGCATTATTCTCATACAAGAGTCTAGATTTTGATTACTGCAGGTGACTGTCTAGAAGTACTCCCTCCATGTCACAAAACACATTGATAACTGTTACTTTTTTC